TTTCTCTTCTTGATAGTGCTCATAATATTCTTTCTATTATTAAAATTATAAATCATATGTTTTTTGGAGTTTTTATATCAATACTTCCATTTCATATATGCCAATTCCCCAAAGGTGAGTTGTTGGGTTAAATAATATTCATACTTGAAAAAAATTTGGATTATGCTGTGGTAGTTTTCAAGAATGTTGCTGAATTCAATTAGCAGCCTATAAAATGACTTTTTTCCACTCTGCCTCCATTGTTTATCATACTTGATATTTTGAAGATGCATGGTACTGTTACATAAGAACCTTTTCATGCAAGTGTATGTGTTGAGCATGCTCTCCCCATGCTTCTCTGTCCACATACATTAGTCCCTTTTGTTTAGTTTCATTTGAACATTCGTGTTATGTAAATACATATATATGTGTATATGCATTGATATAAAATACACACATATCATTTTAGGTGTCTTTGTAAAAATCTAGAAACCACAAGTTAGGGAAAACTTGACACTGCTTGTTCCGTGACTGGCTTAATTTGCTGGATATTATTCTTTGCGTTGAATCCATCTTTCTACAAGTGATGCAATTCCATTCTCCTTCTGGCTGGACAACTTCCATTGTGCATCTAGACCACATTTCTTTATTTATTCCTTGGTTGTTGGACACCTAGGTTGGTTCTCACATATGTAGCTAGAGTTTTCCTGCCTGACCCACAGTCAGGACAAATCTCTCTCACCTGCCAGTCCCATAGCCGCTCAGACCCAACCAATTAAATACAGAGACTTATATTGCTTACAAACTGTATGGCCATGGCAGGCTTCTTGCTAACTGTTCTTACAGCTTAAATTAATCCATTTCTATAAATCTATACCTTGCCATGTGGCTCGTGGCTTACCAGCATCTTCACATGCTGTTTGTCATCGTGGCAGCTGGCAGTGTCTCTCTGACTCAGCCTTCCACTTCCCAGCTTTATTCTCCTCCTTGTCCCACCTATACTTCCTGCCTGGCCACTGGCCAATCAGTGATTTATTTATTGACCAATCAGCAACACACTTGACATACAGACTATCCCACAGCACACATAGGTATTGTGAACAGCGCTTCCATCGACATTGATGTACTACAGTGCTTCTTTTCCTGTGTCTGCTGTTTCACTTAGGGGGATGTTCTATGTGCTCATCCACACTGTAGCGAGTGACAGGTCTTGCTTCCTTTGACATTATCCTACATATGCTTGTGCTACACTTGCTTTATTCATTTGTTGGTTGACAGGCATTTAGGTGGTTTGTCTGTCTCTGCTATTTATAGATAATGCTGCTAGAGGACACAGGAGTGTTATCTTTATTGCCATGAGGGTAATTTTATTTCTTTCGATATATGTTCAGAAATGTGATGGCTGGGCCATTTGAAGTTCTATTTTTAATTCATTAAAAAAACTCTATAATGTTTGCATAGAAACTATATCATTGCTAGCAGTATACAGACACTTATTCCCAAAGCTGTTACAAGCACTTTTTGACTTTGTAGGAATAGCTATGAAAAGAATGAGAATGACCATCCTGATGCTGGCATTAATATTTCATACTGTTTTTGATTTGTGAAATTGATTATTGGTAAAAATCTGATGGTTAATGAAATTATATGCTTTTTTCATATACCTCTTGTCTATTTTTATATTTCCTTTGGAGAATGTGTATTCAGGGTTTATGCTTATTTTAAGTGGATATTTTTGCTAATGTGTTATATGATTTAAAAGTTTTTACTGGTGTGTGTGTGTGTGTGTGTGTGTGTGTGTGTGTGTGTGTGTGTGTGCACATGTGCATGCATAAATGCACATGTGGGTGCATGCATGTGTATGCCATATGTGATACAGGTACCATTTGAGGACAGAAAAGGGAACCTGGAGAGACAGGCTTAGATGACCTGGGTGCTGGGAATAGAACTCTTGTCCTTTAGAAATTGAATGTGAACCTTTAATGGCTGAACTATCTCTCTAACTCTATTTTTCTGTTTCTAAAAGTAGAAGCTGGGGTAATCAGTTTGAGGCTTTCCTTCTGATCTAAACTGGCATTTTAGTGGCACACATTTCCCTTTAGGTACACTTTAATATGGAAAGTTGTTGTATGTTGTGTTTTCTTTAAGCTTAAAATACTTCTTAATTTCCTTTTTATTATCTCCTTGATGTAGATGTTATTTAGTTGCTAACACTGGGGTTTCCAGATACCTCTGTGCTAGTGATTTCTAATTTAATTTCACTAGAGTCAAAGAATGCATCTTGATCTGAATACTTTTGCATGTACTGAGACTGTTTTATGGTCCACAGTTTGCTGTGTTTTGATAGATATCCTGAGTTTACTTGCAAAAAACTTTCATTATTCTGTTATTATTGCGTAGAATGTTCCGTAAATTTCAGTTAGGTAAAGTTGGCTAAGAATACTTAATCTCTTACTGATTTTCTTTTTATTTTCTCAATTGAGAGCCGGTTTAAAATTTTTTTTAGATACAGGTGTATAGGTCTGCTTTTTTTATTTGCGGTTGTGCCAGGTTTTGTTTAATATATTTTGAAGATCTGTCGTTATATGTAAAAAGAACACTTACATTTTTCTATCCTCTTGTCAAATCGGGCCCCTAATCATTGTGAGATGACCCTTTCTGTCTTTTGTTTAGCCATGCTGTGAGCTCTCATTTGGAACAGCTTTTTGTTCTCTATTAAGATCATTGAGGTTTGTTTTCTCGTGTGTGTGTGTGTGTGTGTGTGTGTGTGTGTGTGTGTGTGTGTGTTTGTGTGTGTGTGTGTGTGTGGTGTATGTGTGTGTGTGTGTTTGTGTGTGTGTGTGTGGTGTATGTGTGTGTGTGTGTGAGTGTGTGTGTGTGTGTGTTTGTGTGTGTGTGTGAGTGTGTGTGTGTGTGTGCGTGTGTGTGTGTGTGTGTGTGTGTGAGTGTGTGTGTGGTGTATGTGTGTGTGTGTGTGCGTGCATGCACTTATGCATATCTATTATGTGAAAGTCAAACAAGGACCACAGCTTCCCTGGAGTTGGAGATACAGATGGCGATGAGATGCCATGATGGTGCTGGGAACCCATCTCAGGTCCTCTGCAAGAGCAGCAAGTGGTCTTAGCCACAGAGTCATCTTTCTAGTCCACAAATATTGCTTTTTATTTGTTTTTTATTTTATCTATGCATTTCCTTATACACTAGTATTTTGTTCTAGTATTGTTGCATGTGATGTTTCGATTTTTGAAGTTTTTGTTTATTTGTTTATTTATTTATTTGAATCCAGATTCCACACTGTAGTCGGGCATGGTCTGGACTCACTGTGTAACTGAATGGGGTCATGTAATGGTCCTCTCTTGGTCTCCTGACGGTTGAGATTAGAGGTCTCTACCAGCACACATACCCGGACTTCCTAAGAGCTGTATCAGTATTGGTTTATCTTATCCTCACACTGAGACTGTCAAATGGAGTTATTATTGTCATCTCCATTTTCAGAGGGATTTAGTGGTCTTTTTCGAAGCTGCCCCTTGCGGGTGGCAGGACCAGGTTTTGGATTCAGGTAGTGTCTTTGGGAACTGTGCTTTGAATGGTTGTATTATTTTTAGCCTTCGGGCGGTTCTTCCTTGTGTATATGTTGAGAGCTGAAATTCACATCTTCCAAACATGTTATTGTTTCGTTCTGTTCTCTATCCCCTCCTCTCAGCAAGCTTGTCCCATCTTCTCCCCTCTTCCCAGCAAGCTTGTCCCCATGTTCTCCCCGTCTGTTTCATCTTAGTTATGCTGTCTGTCCCCTTCCGTTGTCTTAGACTACTGTTTTCTTTCCCCCCACTTTCTGCCACTTGGTCCCTGCGTCTTATTCTTCTTTTACTTCACTCTTGAATCAGTACACTCTACTCATTTTCACTGTCCTGTCCACTGCACAAGCCTGCTGTGATCTCTTATTGGAAATAGCTGTCCGTCATTTTCTCAGCGGTGGCGCTGTGTGCTCTGTGGTGTCTGAGTTACCCTCATACTGTTTCATTATTACTTCATATCTATCACCTACATTAAATTATATATATTTTTTTCCTTTTTGAGACAGGATCTTAGATGTAGCCCTGGCTGGCCTGGAACTCTCAGAGATCTGCCTGCCTCTGCCACCACACCCAGTCAGACTATGTTCTTATAAGAACAGACTATTGCTTATGACTCTGTGTTCTCAATGCTTATCTTAACACGTGAGGCCTAGAGTTAATGCATTATAAATATTTTGTGAATATGAATTTGTCATTAGTTAGCATCTTTTATAATTATTGTATCCGCATGAACAGCAGATAAAGTCCTTTTTGTCTTGATCTCAGAAAAGCATCTTCCAATGCTTTATTTTTTTCATAGTCTAAAAATAATTTCTTTAATTGCAGTGATCAAATATAGAATGGATCTTTTATAGTTTCATATTCTGTTAGCTCCAGAATATACTGTATAGTAAAGTCAATAATAAGTACATAATTGTTAGGATCTTCCTGTGGTTTACAGTGGACCAAATCTTCATTTTTATCTGCAGTTTATGAAATACAGGTTCTATTTTCTCCGCAGCAACAGGACAACAAGAAAAGTTTAAGTTCTTCCCATAGTGTGAAAATGTGTTATAATGCACATAAATCTCTGCCATGTCAGAGTGAGCGTGTTAAAAGAGGAGTGACAAGTGTCACAAATCTTTACTCTTTAGTATATAGTATCTGAATGCTAATAATTAACAATAGGGAGTAAGAGGGAAACATTGGACCCACACTTAATGCATGGCAGTGAACATACATTCGCCAATAATTTCTGAAGATGATTACACTCGCTGTTGAATTTCTCTACGTCAAAGAAATGAAGTTGCCCTCTGGGGGTATGCATGAAAGATGGGATTCATTTCCCACAAAATTGCAGTTTTCATATGCTCCACACCCCCTGCTGTGAGACTGTGTGGCTCTCGCTCTCGGAAGCGTGACTCTGCGTAACTAACTATTAACTCTGTGCTTCTATTTTGTTTGCAGTATCTGGCGAGGTCCCAATGTGAACTGCACGGACAGTTCGGGGTACACTGCTTTACACCACGCGGCCTTAAACGGACATAAGTAAGTGCCACCTGTCTGGGCTGGAAGTTTTATGTGTTTCGTTCCATGTGATGACATTAGTTCTGTCTGTTGATGCCTTTCTTCTGGTCTTAGGCGATTTAGGGAGGGTAACACTGACAAATTAAGCTTGGTACGAATATCATTGGGTATGAATGTATTTAGAATGTTAGTTCAAAGAAGTGGTCTGACAAGCAGTAAAATGTATCATGCATGAATGTTGGAAACAAGCAGTGACAGGACCATGTTAATCCTGTGTAGTTTTAGGGAAAGAATGGGATAAAAATCACTGCTTACCTTCTCTTGACACCATAGGAGTAGATTCTCGCTAGAGTCCTGACTCCATGAGCCACGGGCACTTATGTGATATTTTCTCTGTCATCTGCAATCAGTTTTCTCTGCTCTAAACTGTTTGATTTTTGTGGAATTAATGTTTTAATTAATATGCTAGTTTATGCTACAGGGCCTGAGAGAACATATAACTTCAACCAGTACTTTATAGCTGGTGTTTTATCTAGGTCACCTAATGGCTTGGTGAAAAAGTGTGATGCATTTTCTTGATGACACAGAGGTCCTGTCTTTTGCTACCAGAAGAAGAATGTCTTTTTTCTGTGTCTCCTTTTCCTTTTGGTTTTTCTTTTGCAGGAATGATGCGAGTTAGTTTTCCCAGATTTGGCTCTTTTCAAAGTGTTTTGGATGGGGTGTGCTAATTAAGTCATGCCTGTATCCCAGCACTTGGGAAGCACAGGCTGGAGGATCAGGAGTCCAAGGTCATCCTTGGCTACATTGTGAGTTCAAGGGCAGCCTGAGCTACATGAGAACCTATAGCAACAAAACAAAACCAACCAAAAAAAAAATATGTGTATCTCCTTCCACCTAATATTTATTTAAATTTGAAGCACACAGGCCTTATTTATACTCGATCTTCTGCCTGGTGACCATAAAACTCTAACTCAAAAAATTTACAATTTGTCGTTATTTATTACCATAACAGTTTTTCTCTTAAAACTTATTATGTCACTCTAACATTATCAGTGCATTTAAAGAATAATTTGAATTGCATAGAATATTATAAATGCAATGTTTTGCTATTTTGATTCTTAGTATCAGATTGCAAAACCACATTTATTTTTCTCTCTTCTTTTTTATATTGTGTCTTCATATCCCATCTAGCTTCGAGTGTTTTGACAGGGTTTTTTATTATTAAATTGCTTTTCTATAGAATGGAAAATATGTTTGCATGTTTGTCTGTCTGTCACTATTTTCTTTTTGACTGGAAGCTCTTGCCTATATCTTTCCACCTTGCCTCAATCTCATGACTCCCTTCCCGCGCCTCTGAAAAGCAGATGTCAGGTGTGAGTCATCATGCTCTGCTCACACATCTCCTTTAAAGGTGAAATTATTGTTTATTCTTATTGTATCTGCATGATCAGATTCCAAGACAAGTTAAATCAGGTTAAGTCACAAATAATGATGTTTCTTTTTCACTCAATTTAGAGTTCAGGTTTCTGATGAAGGGAAGCTCTGTGAGGCCCAATGTATCCAGTGTCTTGGGCCTGACTCTGAGTTACACTCATTTCTTGTTTTCTTACAATGCCACTAGAAACACTTCTCAGATGTCTGAAAGCAAGTAAGGACTTGTAGCCTCTCTCAATTTTCAGCAAGTTTATTTAGCAAATATTATTGATTTACACATGATGGCCTGGAAGCAATAACTCTTTGTTCCTATTATCAATATATAAAATGAAGATAATTTAAAGGAATTGAACAGTAACCATTAAGATTGGCAAAAAGAGAGTAGGGTTCAGCGAGGCATTTTTAAGCGTTCTGTTCAGTGCAGATAGTCTACTTGCATATCTTTGATTTTATCTGATGAGCTCATTATCTCTCAAATACTTCCTGGTGGAATTTTTCTCCGTGTTGTCTTATTTATTGCATATGCTTTGGAAAAAGCCCAGGAGAAGTGTGTAACGTGCCCATTGTTTACCTTTAAGCTGTGTTAACTATAACATTTTTAGGCCTCAGTTCAGTGTGTTTCAAATACGTCGGCTAGATATTTTTCATTGTTTCTCTCTGTTCCATTTTTGATATCTACATCCGGTATTGTTTTTTCTTGGTTCTGTATTATGATGCAATAGTTCTGAAATTTGGATTATAATGGATATTTCTTGAGTCTTGTGTGTTTAAATTACCTATAAACTGTTACAGTTAGACACCACTTATCCCACCCAACTCCTCTTACTGGCTAGAGGACAAAGCAGGCCATTCTGGATAAACGATGCAGTGGCCACTTCTCTAGGGAGGCGGGTGTGTACCGAGAATCTCAGCATTCTGGTTACAGTCTGTGCTTTTTTTCAGTTCTCCATGTTACCTCCCCTGTGTTTCACCTCTTTCTGGCTTTTTCTATGTCACATTACGTATTTCTGAGATATCTTCCCATACCATCAGTTAGTATGTTCCCATGGAACCCTAAATAATACTGTCTTAAGTAAAAAGAGAGATTTTAAGGAGAGACAAATATCAGGGAAGGTATGAAGGAATGCCTCTTCTTTTCTTTGCCCTTGTCGCTGAGCATAGGCCCTTAACACTTTCTCAGGTTGTATTTTTCTCTAGTAAACCTGAGCAGATGACATACAAGCATAGTCCATTCTTGTTGCTGTTGTGATTCCTGGATTGTTTCTATAAATGTGACTTCTAGGCTGAAGTTCATGGGCTTACAGAGCTGGGAAGAATGTGGCAGGGTTCTGTATTTTATTCTTTGGCTTTCAATATAGTCGTGTCCCCCCCCCCCCCCCCAGCCGTCCCAACATGTGACCAGCCCTAAGCCTTCACATTGCAAATTGAGTCCATTTCCTTCTCTTTGGTCCTTTTTCTTGGGGCCCTTGTGTATCAACACTGGTTAATCCACAAATAGAGAAGTATTTTTCTCCCCGGGATGCATTGTTTCTTACAGAGCAGTTTGTCTCCAGTCAGCCAGGCTGGACACAATAGAGGCTGTACTCTATTGGTGGTATCCTGGGTCATTTGCAATTACAAAATGGAAAGTTATTACCTTCAAATGACAGGAAAATCATGGCCAATAGAACAAAATCTACTAGGAGCGATTATAAACAATTCACACTACAAACACGATCCCTTAATTCTCTTCTGAATAGAAGAGAATAGAATCCATGCCTGGCCTTCTCTCCTCACCGCCCCCCCCACCTCCCCTCTTTCTTCCCATACTCCCCTACCCCTTTGTTTTCTCTCCTCCATTCCTCTTTCCTGTTTGATTTCCCTTTCCTCCTCTGTACTGTTGTCTTATTTCATTTTGTAATTAATTAGTTAATTAAGGCCTGGGGTGGGAATCCAGACCTCATACATGCTAGGCAAGCCCTCTCCTGCCAAGCTACAGGTGCAGCTCCCTTGATAGGGACCTCCCTCTCTCCCTCCCTCTCTCCCTCCCTTCCTCTCTCCCTCCTTCCCTCCCTCTCTCCTCCCTCCCTCCTTCCCTCCCTCCCTTCCTCTCTCTCTTCCTCTCTTCTTTCCTCCCTCCCTCCCTCCCTCCCTCCCTCCCTCCCTCTCTTCCTTCCCTCCCTCCCTTCTTCTCTTCTTTCCTCCCTCCTCCCTCCCTCCCTCCCTCCTTTCTTTTCTGTTGTTCATTTTTTTTCTTTTGGGAGGGGCAGTTCTTCCAAGCTGACTTTGAGAGACTCATTCTCCTCCTGTCTCCATCTTGAAAGGGCTGGGATTGCATGCCTAGCTATTTTTCAAAAAAATAGTTTTATCTTTCTCAAGATTTTTGTTAACCTCAAGTACTTATATTTTTATTTTATTCCCCTTCTGTAATTAGGAAAATTGCTTCTTATTTTTCTTCAGTCTTATTTCTCAAACTCTGTTGGACGTGTTGCGATACTTCTTGGATACTAAATAAAAGTGTCAACAAATTGTCTTTATTCCTTGGAGATATGTATGGTATATAGTATGGTATGTGTGGAGTTAAAATATTTTTTATTCGTCTATCTCTTTTAGGATTTAATAGTTTATAGACCAGTATCTGTAATCTAAATTCCATGTTAAATTGGAGCTAGAATCCAGAGAGTAAGCTGTTTGTAGTTTTGATTTTTGCTTTTTTCTTAGTTTTTTTTTTTTTAAATGAAAGGAGTACTCTTGAATTTTATAATCAGATACCTGAAGTTGTTGGAATAACTAGAAGCATCTTTGATTTTATTGCTTTTCTTTTCACAATCTTGAAATTAGAAGTGTGAATTCAGTCTATAGAGAAACTTCAGTGAGAGTGAAGCGTATGTCCCCAAGTCTTCTGGGCACGCCGGACACACTTGAGACTTCATTTGCTTTAAAGAGAAGTGGATAGCCTCGGGAGAGTCTGGGCTCTAGCCATATAGAATTTGAGAGTTTCAGTGGTTAGTTAATTTTGTAGCTGATGAAGCTGTTATTTTGGGATTTACTGACAAGCAGTAGGACAAAATAAACACTGGTGGTTGTAATCTGGTTCCATGGGCTCTTGTTAAGAAAAAAGAAAAAAAGCCAAGACTGTCCTACCAATTACTTTGATTTTGCTTAGAATTTATTCTGAACTTTTCCCAAGATCTTTAATATTAATCAGAAATGTTTTTATATTTACCAGAACATGAATGCAAATGAAAGTAGAAAAGTTAGTACTTACAATTTTGTATTTTTATCTGAATTTACATATATTACCTTAAAGCCAAAAAAGAATGAAATTATTTAAATTGGATTACTTTTTGATTTAATTTGATATGTTATTTTGCCTTGGGCAATAAAATTACTTTTTCTGAGACATCATCCAGCACATTTATATTAGGATTTCAGAACATGTTTTTTGGTGTGTGTGTGTGTGTGTGTGTGTGTGTGTGTGTGTGTGTGTGTGTTGGGGCAAGCATTGAATTCAGGTTTAGTACATGCTAAGTGTGTACCTTGTCGCTGAGTCACACCATTAACCCTGGACCACAGCCAGTTCCCGGATGCTGGCTATAAGAAACATTGTTACTTTATTTGTAAAATGCAAGGGTTGCTTTGCTACTTGCTAATCTATTGATGTCATCAATGTAACTTAATATTTAATTCAAGGAATGAAGCACAGTCAGTATCCTTACTTGTTGGCAACTTTGAATAAGGTATTAGATACAACCTAAATGAAGATTAAAAAGTAATAATACTGAGTTAGTATTTTTGTTGTTCTTCAAGTTTAGATATTATAGAACATACTCAAAATTTAATTTGCTCTTTATAAGCCTTATGAAAAGGCTATTTAATTAACATTAGGTATGATACATTTAGATACAGCATAGGAAGGATTAATGGAAGTTTATTAGTTCCTTATTGTGTTTACTTATTTGATTAGAAGTCTAACTTTATATTTAATAAGTGTGTTTTCAAACTGAATCTAAACTCAGTTGGTTCACTAGTTAATATATCCGAATAAGGTTACACAACTCAATTAAATAAAAGCTTAAAAGAAAATTTAAATTTAAAGATATACACATTTATTGAGCAGCATATATTACTCCCAGGTACTTGGGAGGTTGAGGCCAGAGTACTACAAACTGAAGAGTATCCTTAAGCTTGGCAGGACCTTTTCTCAGAATAAAGTAAAACATGTCAGGCATGTTAGCTCAGGCATTTACTTACACATTCAAGGCCCTGGATCCAATCCCTTGATACTGCAGAAAAACAAAGAAATTTAATAAACACAGTTAAAAATGGAGACAGCAACTGAAACAGCAGGATGGCTCCATTGGTAAAGGTTTTGCCTTAAAGCTTGATGACCTGGGTTCAATCCCTAGTACCCACAAGGTGGAAGAGGCAACCTGCTTTGGCAAGATGCCCTCTGACCTCTATGACATGTGTGTCTCCTCAGTCAAATAAACGAATGTAATAAATTGAAAAAGATAGTATTTAATTATCATCTTGTAACTTATAAACATATAGATTATCCCTTTCTGATTTAGGTACTAATGGAAATACTATTATGTATACAGTACAAATGTTTAGAATAAGCCACTGTTTAAAAATAAGCATTTTCAATGTATCATAAATTTTCTTGGTAAACAATGAATGCTTACACCTATATTATTAAGAAATACCAAGAAAATTCGAGTCAAAGCATAAATTCTGAATTTTGGGTAAGAGTAAAAAGAAGGAGATGCTTTGAGCGCATCAATGTTTCCTTTTTTTATCTACCTATTTTAGCCTGTGTTATACTACTACGATGAGATATGCAAGGCTGGGTAACTTTATAAAGAAAAGAAAAATACAGGAATCATTTTGCTGTTTGTTACTCTACAGATGTCAGTAATAAAACAGTATATTTTATTCCAAGTAGTAAAGCACCGTCAGCGTCTACATTTGTTGGTATTTCTAAGTGAGATATGATTCAACTAAATCAAAGTGAGAATACCGAGTAGGTATTCTACTACACTTTTAATTTAGGAGCTATAGAAAAGTGCCTGAAATTTAATTTCAGGTAGAGTTAAAGACCCAAATCTAGTGATGTCATTCGTGATGGTAGAGTCCCAAGGTGACTCAAGTTACTGCATGACCAGTGGACATGCATGTCTATGTTTCTTCTTGTCTTTCTTATAAAACCAGTGATATCCATAGGAGGCTCTACCACAATTACCTTATTTACATCTATTCATGTCCCCTAGCGCCTGTTTCTAGATACTATATTTAGATTGGGTATCTTGTAATGGGAAATAAATTTAATGCATAAACTCGTGGACATAAAACCAAACTATATACAAAACTAAGGAAAAATTTTTATGAAGATTTTAAGATTGTTTTTATTTGCATAGATATTAAGAAATAAAATTAAAGGCTTTACTATGAATTTGGAGCAATCAATTTTATTCTAGGAAAAATTCTACTTAGAATTTGGTATTTAGTTTGACCTGCCTCCTTTGGTTTTATTTTACTTTTTAAATGCTAACTCGTTTCTATTTTTTTTTTAAATCACTGAAATTGTTCAGCAGTACAACAGCCCTCCCTGAGAATAGTTCAGATTATGTAGAATCCACAGCTGTAACTTTTTCACTGGATTCACATCACAACCTGATAGCCAGTATAATATCTAAATTCCATATTAACAGTGAAAGAGACAAGGAAAATGCTTGATTTGCTTCAGGTAGCTAAATTATTAACTAGTGGAGATTTGGGACTTCAAGCCAGATTCTTAGTAGGTTTTTCTTAATTCATAACTCTTGATGGGATCCTCATTCCTCACTCATCATGTTCTTATCTCAGAATTGAAGACTCTAGAACAGCGCTCATGTGGCAAAGATAGAATGATGTGAACTGGGTAAATGTTGAGTTCTACTTCTACTTCTTGTTTATGTTCTTATTTGATACAAATGCTCATGCTTACACAGTGAGTTACTAGTTATCACGTGACCTCTGTAATCCCATTTAGTAGTCTTACCTGGCTTCAGCAGTAAATACTGCTTTGTTGTTCTAGTGTCTTTTCCAGGAAGGAAAAGAAAATGATGCTAAAATGAAAAGTTGGGTAGTGCTCATACCTGAGTCACAAATCCCAGCCTTCTAAATTCAGATTTTGTTAAGTTGTAATTTTAAAGGACATGTTGGGAAATCATGTATGGGCCTGGAAAGATGGCTCAGCAGTTAAGAGCGCTTCCAGAGGACCTGTTCCCAGCACCCCCATTGGGTGGCTGATAACTGCCTGTAACTCCAGCTCAAGGAGCTCTGACTTATTGTGGTCTCTACTGTCACCCATTTATACTTCCGTACATACGGACACACATATACATACACATAAAATACAATCACATAAAATACAATCAACTCTTAAAAGAGATATAATTTATATCTTAGCTTCTCAGAAATCTTATCATTAGAAGACTAAGATTCTTTAGAATGCATAAGTATTTCTATAATATATTCTCTTTCTTTTCATCACAATTTTATACATTCTGCAGCTGATGTTTAGGCTGCACTTTTAACTGTGTGATTTACCATTTATTGTCATTTTGTGTTACATCCATTTCTTGTGAGCTATTGGGAGTCTAGCCTCACTTCTTTTTAAATGGCCACTTATTTTTCTCATTTATTACTCTTAGCTTAACCTCATGAAAACTTAAATTGAGATTATTCTAGAAATAAGAATTGGGGGATTTTTCAAACCTAAGGATCAACTTTAATTTGTGATTGTATAACGTAAGTATTTTCCCCTGCCTTTGCACATGTGTCTGCAGTTTCACTTAATGAATTACAGAATTTGTGTCTAAATGCAGCCAAATGAAAGGCAACTTTGGTTTAGAATTACATTTGGGGGTCGTTACGTACAAAGTTCAGTATAATATATGCTAATAATTATCAATCCATTCTTCCTGGGATTATTTCAATGAAGGTTTTTACTCTGGAAGTCTGGTGGGTTTTAAATATAGAAACCTATGGGTAGCATATGAGTTGTCCTGAGACTTCGCCATCGATGGAATGTCTCTCTTAAGTGACTTTCGTTCTTGGGGCCACTTCCTGGGCTTGAAGGAGAAAGAAGAAAGCAGGATGGATCAGACATTCCATCACAGTCTGTGGCTGAAGTTACCCAAGTTTGTTTTTTAACCGTGATCTAGTACTATACTTAGGTTGTTAGCTCCCTTAGCCACAGACCTAAATTTCTCTCTTATATACATCTTAAGTCATTCATTCCAGTTCTCTCGGGGGTGGGGGAGACATTTAAACCCCCTACATTTATCCCGGTACAAGATAACATTAGTTTTTGGTAATAGGGCGTTTGCTTATGGCCTCAGCTTTTGATTCAGGCTAGTTCTTAGGTATGGATTATCTGGAAAGACAGTTCATTCTCAAAAAAGTGATGATGGAACACTTTATTGACTTAACTCATTCATTTAACAAAATAAGATATATATTGTCCAAATGCATTCTATTATGTAATTTTATTGCTTAGTCAATGCTCTGCCTATATGCATACTCATGTGTGTGTATGTGCGTGTATGATCTGTGTGTGTGTACTTGTGTGTATATGATGTGTGTGTATGATGAGTGGGTGTGTGTATGTCTGTGTGTGTGTTTGTATGATGTATATGTGTGATTTGGGAGAGCCTTTGAGTATTTTCTAACTAAAATAGTATGTCAACTATGAAACTTTTAACCCCCATCTTAAATTGTAGTGTCTTGAATGAGTGACTGTTATAAATTCCCCCTAGCCTATAGTAAGCATTCACAGTAATCTAATAAAATCTGTGTTGTTCAGCCTGTTTTCTTTCTTTTCTGTTGTTTTCTTTTTTCTTTTTGTTTACTTTTTCCCTCAGGGACATAGTTCTCAAGCTACTTCAGTATGAGGCATCCACAAACGTGGCCGACAACAAAGGTTACTTTCCCATTCATCTGGCTGCCTGGAAAGGAGACGTGGAGATTGTGAAGATTCTCATCCATCACGGACCGTCACATTCCAGAGTCAATGAACAGGTGCCCTCGTTGAACGTTTGTTCACACATTGTAATTCACTCTCAAGCTTTGCAAAGGCAAAGCCGCATGGAAGTATTGATACATTTTATCTTCACCTTGCCAAAAATCATTCTACTTCTGAATTTCCTAAAGGAAACATTTGAACAGTTCTTTGGGTTTGGATATGAGGCACAGAAACTGTGGGTTTGGATGTGAGGCACAGGCAAGATGGGTTTGAATGTGATACACAGAAACTATCATGCACAAGAAGTACAGGTTTTGGATATCATGCACAGGCACTAAAGCATTTGGGAAGATACTTTGTTGAAAAATATCTCACATAAAGGAAATCATTGTAAAATTTTTGCATGCCTAATATAATCATCCATTTTTTATCTACTGAATATTTAAAGATAGAACAGTATTTATGTTTGTAATGAGAATTAGTGTTCTTTGATAAAATTTTAAATGCTAAAACAATGTTTACAATGATCATTTGCATAATGCTTTCCATTTACATAGCATTTTCACAGTTAAGTATACTTTTTGGGAATCAATATGTAAAATACAATGCACACAGTTTCTAGACTCATAGTTAGTTAAAAATTCCCTCTAAAGACACACACACACACACACACACACACACACACACACACACACACACACACACACACGCACGCACGCACACACGAGAGAGAGAGAGAGAGAGAGAGAGAGAGAGAGAGAGAGAGAGAGAGAGAGAGAGATGTCTAGAGTAAGGTGAACACCACAGACCACAGAGCATTATAATCATGGCAGATAAAGGTAGAGTATTTGCAAGAACATAATATCTGTATTATAAACAATGAACATATTTAAAAAGGAATTCACCTCTGAGCATTAAAACAGGTAAGAGTACAGGTTTGAAAGAGTAGACTATGGCCTCCTTATACAGTATAACAGACATCTCGAGCTCTGCACGCCCCCTACTGTTTCCATTTTGTAAAACTATATTTGAAATCAGCATGCAGTCCAACAATTGAGTTACAACCATGGTATTAAGCTGCAGGTTGGCGGCTGTCCAATACCGATGTAAATAGATTACTGTAGGACAAGCATTTCTAATTAAAGGACAATTACCATATTATTCAAATAGCTATAGACTTTGCAGACCTTTGGCTGAAATTGAGAGTAAATAAGAATGGAAAGTGATAACTAGCTTGAAACAAAATTTCAAGAAAGAAAAAATTTATAACCACATGCAATGTTGAAAGGATTAATCAGCAAAAAGAATTTTATTTGTTGGGAAAGTACGTTAATTTTTTTATGACAATTAAAATTTGGGGTTTGTGATGTTACCAAAATGTAGGATTTCAAAATTAGAATGTGTTCAAGTCTTTTTAAAAATGACAGATCTGACTATCTTTATAGTCATCTTATCCTAAAAGGAGATTTGTGAGCATCCTTTTCTGGTCCCGAGAAGGCAGAACTTCGATCCTTTACAGGATGAGCCATCTGGTGGTTATCCTTAAAACTGTCTGCAGAGCGCCAGTGTGAAAACAGCCCAAGGTTAAAGGAAGGGATGTTAGTGCACATAAACAAGTGTTCTTTAAATGACACAGAAATAAGAAACATCCAGTTCATTTATATTTGAGAGTTGAAATTTTCAGATGGCATAACCATATTGGTATGATTTGAGAGAAACATTTGTTTTTGGTAATATTGAACATTGATCAAATTATGAAAAAATTTCCTCTTAAGGACACTGGAATTAAAAATTGTTTTTTTTTTGTGTTTTTGCATTTCTGTTATTGTGTGCTGCTGTTTTGTTGGCAACAAGTTGAACATTTCTTGAGACTGTTCGATTGTTGGTGTCTGTGTGTGTGTGCCTGTGCAGGCACATGTTGAGGTGGCTGTGTGGGCCAGTGTGTGTTTGGATGTGTGTGTGTGTGTGTGTGTGTGTGTGTGTGTGTGTGTGTGTGTGTGTGCGTGTGTGCGCGCGCGCCCTGGTGCACAGGCACTTGTGTGGATGTGCGTGTGGAAACTGAGGCCTGTGTTATTCCTCAGATGTTGCCTGCTTTGTTTGGGACCTGGGGCTCACTTAACAAGATTTTCAGGCTGGCTGGTGAGCCCAGGGACACTCCTGTCTCTGATTGCTCAGGGACTGCAAGCCTGTGCCAGCATACCTCCTGATTCTTTTTTTTTCAATGTGGGTTGTGAGATGGAGCTTAGGTCTTTACCAGCCAAGCTGTCCTCGCCACACCCTGGGACTTTTAATTTGAAACCTGTCCTCGTACTCTATACCATTACTTCCGAGAGTAGATGTGGGGATTTTATTCTTATAAGGAACTTGAATTTTAGCCTCCCCAATGGTACATAAATATTCTAGCTAATTAGGAACTTTTTATGTATTCAGACAACATTGGGAAGAAACAAAAATCAACATTAACTGAGGACTAAAGGAAGCCAGTCATTGTTCTAAGGACTTCCACCTGCACAATGTTACTTAATTCTTTTCTGAAATGAAATTATCTTTCCTATTTTATAGATGAAAAGCCAAGCTCAGGAAAGCTAAGTAACTTGTTTAAGGTCACATGCTCCCGGGTGACCCAAACTTGAACTCTGATTCTGGGTCTTCACACTGATGTTGCCATCCTACATCCCATTACTTACGGAGCGTTTACCGTGTTGTGGAAGTTGTGCAGAACACTGCATCTACATCCCCTTCATCCCTGTCACAGCCTGGTGAAGTAGGGGTTATCATTCCTGCTGTCTGTCTGGGGCCATGACCTACGAGGAGAAGAATTGGCCCATGATGCATCTATTAAGAAATGTAGTCAACGTTTAAAAGGGGTTTCAGATCCTCAGTCAGTTACAGTCATGCATTGAAATTATGCACTGTAGTTAGTGTTCCATTGTGCTTTCTGAAAAGGATCTTTGACTTCTTATATGGTTGTCCCCCCTTCCCTATGTAGGGTACATTGTTTTCCAATACCCCTGATGGAAATCTTAGTACTAATAATCCCACATATCACTTCGGATTTTCTTTTGGAAAGCATTTGTAAGCTATTCCATTTTCAAAACGCTCTTGTTGTTACTTGGGACAAGCCCTAATGTTTATGTCATGTTTCACTAGTTATCAAGTGACTTAAAAAAAAAATCTCATTTAATGCTTTTATCATACTTTGGCTGCGCTGCCACAATAGTGCCGGAGTTTGTTTGTCCGTCTGTGTTTTTCTTCATGGTCCTCCTTTGCACCACCGTGTTCTGGGTCATTTAGTAAAATAAGGGTCACTTGAACCCAAGCTCTGCAGTAGCACATCGGATCTGATGGATGAGACGGCCATTACGTGTTGCCAGGGATGATTCATGTCAGAGCTGAGATGGAGCGGAATGGCTCAAGATTTCATCATGCTCAGATCAGCATGTGTTTTAAAACATAGGAACCGTTTCTGGAATTGTCCGTTTAATATTTCAGACCTTTGCTGAGGATAAGCAGCTGAAATTGTGGATTGTGGTCTTATTGGTTGGTATATACTGTAAGTTTTAATAACACCAGTTAGCAGAGCATGTTTTTCTATGTCATATTTCCATGCTTTAAAATAACCTTGGGGCTCCTACTGAGCTTATAAAACATCCAGATTAAAAATATCAGGGAGTCTATTTTCAAAAATAATTCAGGCAGTCAGTCTTACATTTTGACATTTAGAAAAGCTCCCTACATGCTATCTCTTGGTTTATGAACCACACTGCAGGGTTCACAGGGAAGACAATGTTCTTACTACACAGATGAGGACTGTCCCGGGATCAAAGGAGTTGAGAATGGGGTGAGCTAACACTTCCAGGTGGATCCTGTTCCCCATGCTGTTTTGTACAGAAGCAGTGAGGCAAGCACAGGCAACGGCGTCCGAGGGGTCAAGACATCCCGGACTCATGCGTATACATGAGTAACGGGTACACATGCCGAATGGGTAATGGGTTTGGTAGGGAGGGCCAGCAGGGGAGGAGCTGGAGATGGGAAGGGAAGGGTGGGAGTGTGGTGTAGGTGCAGCGCTCATGTATGAATATCTTCACCATTAATTAAGAAGAGTAAGAAAGACAAACTCTGGTACTATGTGGTAACAGTGCAGAAAGTATGGCATTCCTTTCTCTTCTTCTCATGTTCTGTGGGTTCTGTATATATTCACCTGTCCCTTTTATCTTGCCTTTATTTTTCTCTTTAATTTACTACTGGGGCAAAAATTAGAATCCCCTTATCTCCAAAGTGCGTTGTCTTTGCCAATTGCTGGAGCTTGAACTCTCCTTGTATCGGCTGTTTCTCTTTGAACTCAGGTCTTTGGGTAAATGGATTTTTTTCAGTCATTTCTTTCTGTTGCTCATTTTCAGAGAATACCTATCTGGTTAAAAATGAAGGATTGAGAACCTTTAAAGAATGTTCTCTATAGATACACTAGCAATTATTAATCGATACATCATCACTGTCTACTCATTTTGAGTAAGATGTTTCTTTTTAGGCTGTTAGTGAGTGTGGACACAAGTATGTAATCTTGCCTTTTTAAAGATTCGCAATTGTAGTCTCGATGGATAAGAAGGCCCAAGCATATGTCAATTGTGGATAAAAACCTGTGAACATTGTCTCCAAAATAGGTCTTTAATGATGGAGATAATTTCTCCTGAGATTTGAATAGCACTAATTGGTATTATTAGAAGAACTTACAATTTCGTTCTTATTTTCTAGACTATGGGCTGTGGAAAAGTAGAGGGATCTTTGAGGCATCATTACTTCATAATTGGCCTTCCTCTTTCTCAGAGAGATATTACAGTTTGAAAAATGAGATTCAGTCCTTTTTAGACCAAGGGGAAATTGGGTTGGTCAGGAAGCATATTTTTATGTCATATTTTCATGTGTTAGAGTAATAAGCTTGGGAGTTCTTATCAAGCTTGTAGAACAGTCAGATTGAAAAATTAGGAAGTCTAAAACTATATGTAGTCAGTCTCTGTGAGGATGGAAATTATACTAAAACACCAAACTAAGCACAAGGTTGATTTTTACGAACAGTGGGAGAAATATCTTCAGTAGATTCCCTCCCATCTGTCTGACCCCAGCTTTTTATCCACTGTCTCCAAAGAGTACATTGCCTCTATGTTCTTTCTCTCCCATTGCCCTGTCTGGATTCTATACACACCCCACCCCACCAAGTCACTCCTCTTTTAGGTTTTCAAATATTTCCCCTAGCTCCTTAATTTACTGGTTTGTATTTTTCTTTAGGCCAGCACAAGCCTGGGATGTTTTTTTTTTTTTTGTCTTGGAAGATTAAGATCTGTTTGGGTTTGGATTGTTCTTTTCCATTTGTTTCTATAGGAGCTACTATATAAGAAGTAAATATAGAGCTACTATTTTCTCTCAGCTCAATGCTCTTTGGGTGAAATCTCTGGAAAATTTTAAGATTGCATTGGAGCCACAGATGGAGGCAGTGAGAACGTAGGCTTTAGGTTTTGACAGGTACAAAAGATCCCGGTTCTTCTTCGATGTAGTGTGACATTTTTCATTTTTAGTCTCCTTACCCATGAAGTAGCTATATTAATACCAAACGTGTAAGATCTCCACAGGGGTGAATGAGACGATGTTGGAAAGTTGGTAGTTGTTTGGCTAGTGTGTGTCATCACCACTGGTATGTTGGTGGTTCAGACTTGGCAGGTCTGGGCTACTTGGTTCCAATCTTGAGCTACATGTCACCTCGCATCACTGTTGTCAGTGGTCCCGAAGCTGTGGTGCAGGTCTTGTTGGAGGTTGGAAGAGATGTGAGCTGTGGAGTGAGTTGAGGTGATGCTGTTGCACCACAGACTTTGGGGAAATACAAAGAGACTCCGAGCACAATCTCTGACTTTATGGTTCCCGTACACACCACGGAATGGCTGTGTAATCAAAGACCTTGTCGTTCAGTTCTTTGTGGCCTCACCCTCCAGTTGAGAGTCATGATAATGATAGTTCCCATCTTATAACAAGGGTTAAGTGAGTAGATACATGAAAAGAGACTGTGTCCGATGCCTGCTGTTAACTGTGATGATGGCTGTGGTAAGGGCAGCTGATCTTTCTAGAGTCCTAATTCAGTGCCATTTCACTTCTGTTGTTAATGTTTCTCGTGCACAGTTCTCCTGGCGGACTCTGCCACCTCTTGACATACCAAGACCCCCATCTACCCAAGTCGATTGCCAAAATTGTTTGAAGAGTCAATTGCCTTGTTACTAAAAAAAAAAAAAAAAAAAAAAAAAAAACCTTGTTAAATTTCTAGAAAATTCTCTTTGGTTTTTCAGTAGGAATTCTTATCAGCTGCAAATGCTGTATGCTGGTGTTTTTGGCTACTTGTCTGGGTGTGAGTTGAGGCTTGGTTTTTACCTGTGTTTTCCAAAGGAGGCTATCATCTTCTCTTAGGGACAGGATTCCTCATTCTTTTTGCCAAGAAGAGAAGCAATTATTTATATTTATTACTGGCTGTTGTATGAGATTTTGTTTATGTTCTGACAATAAAGGTTGCCTGGAGATCAGAAGGCGGAGCTAGCCAGGCCAGGCAGTAGTGGCACACACCTTTAATCCCAGCATTTGGGAGGAGGAAGCAGGAAAATCAGGAGTTCAAGGCTACATTGGGCTACACGAGACTGAACCAGTCTAAAAGAGAAACAGAGCTGGGCAATGGTGGTGCACATCTTTAATCCTAGCACTAGGGAGGTAGAGGTAGGAATATAAGGCAGGTGGAGACAGGATCTCAGCCCCATTCAGTCTGAAGATTGAGAGACAGGATCTTCCCCATTCAGTCTGAGGATTCGTAGAGATAGGATGCTCCATTCGGTCTGAGAGTTCTTAGAGGTAAGAAGTCAATGGTGGCTGACTGCTCTGCTTCTCTGATCTCCAGGAAAGCTTTATTTGTCAGAACACAAACAAAATATCATACAGCAACTGATCATATTTATAATAAAAGCAATGGTTTCTACTTATTTAAAATAAAATGAAACAATTTGGGTAACATTTCTGTAAATGTCTCATCATCAAGAATTTATCATCTCTAGGCTTGTCTGCAAAGTCAACCATTAAAAGTATAATTGTTATTAATCTTCCTTATTAACAAATATAATGGAGGCATGTACAGTGCAGGGAACACTGGCCATCTGGACCCAGCAGGGCCATTAACTATCATGGCTAAATCATCATTCTTGGAAGCTGGACTGTGTGCTGCAGAGAAAAGTTTGATTTTTCATATTGAAGTGATAAAATTAAAACATGATTTTGATGTAAAAAAATGATGATTACTTTTATCCAATATAAAAGTCAGTTAGATATACTTACTACATATATCCCATTTGAGTTTGCATTTCCAAACATGCCAAGTTATAAATTATTGTGTCTGAGAGCTAATTTACATTTCTGAAGACATGGCCTTTTGTGTCTCCGCCTTACATAGAACAATGAGAATGAAACCGCCCTACACTGTGCAGCTCAGTACGGACACTCAGAAGTGGTTGCTGTTCTCCTAGAAGAGCTCACGGACCCTACGATCAGGAACAGCAAACTGGAAACCCCGCTGGACTTGGCAGCGCTGTACGGACGGCTGCGTGTGGTGAAGATGATCATCAGCGCGCACCCGAATCTCATGAGCTGTAACACCCGCAAGCACACGCCGCTTCACCTCGCCGCCCGCAACGGCCACAAGGCGGTTGTACAGGTGCTGCTGGAGGCAGGAATGGATGTGAGCTGTCAAGTGAGTCTCTTAGGCAGCCGTCCGGGCATCTAAAGGTGACGTGGCTGCACGGCCTGCTTCTGGGAGCACGTGGGGAGTTAAAGTACAGGCTCTCCCTTTATGATAACTGGAGGGCCGTGGGTTATGAGTAGATGGAGGTTGTGGGTAGTATCGTGAGTAATTGTTTTCTTTTTCCTGGCGTTTCACCGACAGCCTGATAACGTAGAAAGTCAGGTAAAACTTAGTGAATGAATTTAACTTTTTATTTATTTTATTCTTTTAAGATTTCTTTGTTTTTATTTTGTGCGTATGAGTGTTTTGACTGTGTTGCATGTACATGCCCCGTGTGGGACATTGAATCCCCTGGAACTGGAGTTATATATAGTAATGAGCTGTCACATAGATGCTAGGAACAAACCTGGGTCCTCTACAAAAGTAGCAAGTGTTCTTAATGGCTGAGCCATCTCTCCAGCCTTAACACTTAGTGTTTTAGCATATTCACAATGCTTGACTGACCCATTTAGAATCCAATGGTTCCAAATGTCCTATCAGGTGGAGTACTATCAGTTTCCAGTAAAGAGATTAGGAATTAGAATCAGAGATTTAAAATTTTTGTCTCAGACACAGATGATAAAACCAGACTGTGGGCTTAGATTTACTGATTAAGTTCTAGGTCACTTTCCAATATAATTTACCATCTGTACTAACTAGTGACCAATCACTGTGTTCAAGGAGACTCAGAAAAAATGCATTGAAAAAAATTGAAATTTGAGTGTTTAAAAAATTATTTTATGTGCATGAATATATTTGTGTGTGTGTGTGTGTGTGAGAGAGAGAATGAATGAATGAATGAATGAATATCAGTGAGTTACAGGAATATGGAAGAAGGGTTATTTAAAGGAACATGGACAACCACTTGTAGTCACGCCATTGATGAAAATGTCTTTCCTTCTCCAAACAATCATTGTCTGACTGTAAATCCCAAAGAAATAATGAGACTGTACCACCTGCCTCTTAGCAACTGTTAGCTGTCTATAAGCCTCCAAGGAAGGGTGGCCTTGTTAGCCCGCCCTCTCTCCATGACTGAATGTTGACATGCCCAATCTTGTGCAGGTAATCTCAGCTGCCATGTTTCCAGGAGCACAATGGCCATGTCATGTCCAGAGGACAACAGTCCACAACACTCCACTCTTTCTTTGGCTCTTACATCCTTTTTTCCCCCCTGTTTGGGAATATTTCTAGAGGCTTGGGTGGGGTGATATTAATGCTCCATTTATGACTGAGCAGTCAACAGTCAATTATTCTCGGCACCTTAACCAGTTAGGAGTCTTTGCAGCTACCACTGCCCACTGCAAAAGGAGCTCCTCTAACCAAGGCTAACAGGAGCACTCATATATGGGCATAAACACCATTATTTAGAAGGTAATTTGACTGGCATGTCACGTCACTTGACAGTTTCCCTACTTGGGACACTTTATTATCACATTTGCAGCACCCGGTGTGGGTTCTTGTCTGTGAACAGCCAGAGAATGGCTAGTTATCCCTCTAGCAGTCACAACAGCGGGTATATCTTGTCTGACTGATGGGTAGTTGTCTTAGTTATTTTTCTATTGCTGGACAGAGACACCACGACCAAGGCAACTTAGAAAACACTTGTTGGGACTTACAGAGAGTTAGCTTATTCCATGACCATCATGGTGGGGAGCCTGGCAGCAGGCATGTACAGAAGTTGAGAGCTTACATCTTGAGACAACAACCACATGATGGGGGTGGGGGTGGGTAGACAGGGAGGGAGGGGACACTAGGTGGGAATGGCATGGACTATTGGAACTTTAAAGCCCACCCCCAGTGACACATCTCCAACAAGGCCACACCTCCTAATTCTTTCCAAACAGTTCTACCTACCAGGGACCAAGCATTCAAATACATGAGGGCCATTCTCATTCAAACCACCACAGCAGTGAGGTGTGCAGGGTGCACAGCTGACTGAGACTGTGGAGAACAATTCTCCTCCAGCAGCCTGCATAGCACGTCCTGGTACTGTGAAAGCTAACCACCAAGCAGTTTCCAGCTCAGTTATAGCTTTATCTCTATGTTTCTGCACCCCAAACATGCGGTGTCTGGGTTTTCTTCAGGTGTGTTGTGTCAATTGTAAATCAGATACCTGCCTCTCTCAGAGGCCGAGTGGACATCGTGTGAGCTGATAGGCAAGATTTTTATGTCTCTGTCAAGATCTGCTAGGCCAGTCTGGGCCTTATGGCAACAGTGTGATTCTAAGAAGGAAAGAGAAAGGAAGTACCCAAGGCTTCTTGGGATGGCTAGCACATCTCAGCTCCTGCCATGTTTGATTGGCCAGGGCAAATTACAAAGGTCACCTAAAGTCTTTTCTTTTAATTATTTAATTTAATTTTAAAATTTTACATACTAACCACTGTTCTCCCCTTCTCTCATTTCCCCCTACCTCCTCCCCATCCTGCCCCCCATTCACTCCTCATAGGGGGTTATTGGAACATGTTTAGGCTTTACGTAGGAGGTCTGCATAAAGAGGATGATTAGGACCACGGGCCTGAGTACCAGGTGTCTGAGATGGTCTGCACTTGGCTGTGCTGGGGGGAGGTCTTTTGTGCCACCCCTTGGCATTCCTTTAAATATCCTAGGGCAGAGACAGTCAGGGTCTGATGGATTAGGATCCAGGCCCTCTGGAGGCTATCCTGTATTTTCTCTTTTTCTCTCTCCTCTATCCTTCTAGCTAACATTTCCTGCTGCTTCTACTCAAGAGTACTCTGGGGGAAATGTGGGGGTGAGGGATGGCCCCCCACAGGGGGTAAGGCCTCTCTTGGGTAATCAACACAGGCTGGCATACCAAGTTGGGGCAGGACTAAGCCCCTCCTCCCTGCATCAAGGCTGAATAAGGCATCACACCACAGGGAATGGGCTCTAAAAAGCCAGTTCATGTACCCGGGATAGGACCTGGTCCCATTGCTAGGGGCCCCATAAACAGATCAAGCCACACAACTGTCACCCATATTCAGAGGGCCTTGTTCAATATCATGCAGGCTTCTCAGATGTCAGTCCAGAGTCCATGAGCTCCCACTAGCTCGGGTCAGCTGTCTCTGTGGTTTTTCCCATCATGATCTTGACCTCCTTTGCTCCTATAGTCCTTCCTCTCTTCAACTGACCTCCGGGAGCTCAGCCAAGTGCTTGGCTGTGGGTCTCTGCATCTGCTTCCATCAGTCACTGGATGTAGGTTCTATGATGACAATTAGGGTAGACACCAATCTGAGTACAGGGGAAGGCTAGTTCAAGCACTCTCTCCACCAATGCTAGGAGTCTTAGCTGGGGACATCCTTGTGGGTTCCTGGGGATTTCTCTAGCACCAGGTGTCTTTCTAACCCCTACTGGCTCACTCTGTCAAGATATCTCATTGCTCTCTCTCTCCCCAAACTCAGCCATCTTGATCCCTCATGTTCCCATCCCCCATCTCCTCCCCTTTAACCCCCTCCCAGTTTACCCAGGAGATCTTAACCCTTTCTGTAGCAGAAATCTTAAAGGCACTTATTAATAAAATCAAACCTGAGGCCAGTTATTGGGGTGAATGCTGGAAGATCAGAGAAGCAGAACAAGCCACAGCTACCTCGCCTCACCAGTTCCTCAGCTGATCCTGTTTCCTCAGACTGGAAGCCTCTGAGTCCTCATCCAGAATGAATCTCAGGTGAACTGTGCTGCTCAAAGCCTAAAAGCTTAACCAGCCAAAAGCTTCTAGTTTCTGGTCTTCACGCCTTATATACCTTTCTGCTTTCTGCCATCACTCCCTGGGATTAAAGGCTCACTTTCTGGGATTAAAGGCGTGAGTCACCATGCTTGGCTGTATCCTTGAACACACAGAGATCCAGGTAGATCTCTGCCTCTGGAATGCTAGGATTAAAGGCGTGTGCTACCACTGCCTATCCTCTATGTTTAATATTGTGGCTGTTCTGTTCTCTGACCCCAGATAAGTTTATTAGCGTGCACAATATTTTGGGGAACACAATACACCACACCTTTCTCCTTCCTGTGGCAATCCATTAGTCCCTCTTAGGGTTCTCCTTGTTACCTACCTGGCTTATCTGGGGTTGTGGATTGTAGTCTAGTTATCCTTTGCTTTGCTTTAAGTGGGAAAATGGTCTCTACACGGAGATTAGAAGAGGGCACGGGTTATAAAAGGAGTTTAAATGTCCAAGAAGAAATAGGTGAGGCCAGTTTCACAAATATTCTACAAGTTCCAGGTAGGAATAGTATTCCTCTATGGAGTTACTGGGAACTGTACAGAAGTTGAATTAAGCATTCCTCAGCTGTTAAAGTTACTACACGGGCACAGACCACTCTATAATCGGGGATGCCCGCTGTAGCGGGTGTTAACGCAGTCCTGCCTGTTCACAGCCAAGGTCTTTTCGTGTTGTCACTCGGTGCCATGGTTGGAAGGAGAAGAGTTTAGATTCACCTTTGTAAGTGCACATTCCTTTTTTTGGGGTGCAAGACATATAAATTGCACTTTGGAGAATCTGACATGAAAATGATCTGCGCACCAAATTTAGTAGAAGAGATAACTAATGTACAAGAAGGATTCCCATATTTGACATCTAGTAAATGCTAAGACAGAGAACTGTGGAGGCAGATATAGCCAAAGAAAGTATAAATTTCCTTTAATAAGAACTCGAGAAGCTGTGAATGGAAGTGATATTTCAAGAGAGCCTCGGATGTCCAGAAGGACCTTGAATTTGAGGTATAATTTAACTTGTGACGTGTGTATTAATTGGGTAAAAGGTGCTTAGAATTATATAACTTGAGGGCTTTTGTATGGGTCATGTTTTCCAAGGTCCCAGTCTAGACTCCCTTAAGCCACTATTGGAGGCATTTATACTCGTCTTGTGATAGCATTTCAGTTCGTCATTGATCTATCAGAGGAGAGGGATGATATGTATGCATATTGCTAAGATGACTTGCTCAGAAGGACCAGGCTAGTACCTCAGTAGGGTGGGTAC